CACGAGCTGGCGCGGTGCGGCCACGCTGTCCGAAGAGGCGATGGCTGCAAACGAGCTGGTCGTCGCCGCCAATCTCGCAGACGCCGTTGAGCGATGCCGGCGTGATCGGCGTCGTGACTGCGGGAAAGGAAGTCGGGGACTCGTGCCACTGCGAGGAGAGAAGCGCGGAGGTGGCAGAGTACGAGGAGAGCGCAAACGCGGTTCCGAGGCAGAGCAGCGCGAGGATGCCAAAGAGGCGGAGCAGGTAGGACGGGCAGAACTTTGGCCAAGAGAACCAGCCGGAGGCAGAGACGGAGCCCTCCGGCGTGGTAATCGTGGTCGTCTCGACGTTGGCCGTCGCGCCCTGAACAGGAGGGCGCGAGACTGGCGGTTGAGCGGCGAGCGGGGGAGGAGGCTACATGTATGCAGGCGGCGAGCACCGAGTCTGTGGTCGGCGGCGTGGAGCCGCCGGTCGCCTTGCCGGTGCCACCGAGGATGCCCTCGTTGCCGTCCGTTCCGAGCAGGGCCCCGAACCGGTTGTTGCCGCCGACCGGGGCGATGCTCTTGGTGCGGACGATCGGGGCGGACGCGCCCTTGCGCCCCTTCTTGCGGCGCGGGTTCGACGGGGTGGTCCTGTCGGGGATGCCCTGCGCACGCGCAAGCGGTGGGTGCGTCAACAGTTGAGGCTCTGCGTTGCACCGCAGCGTGCGAGGCGCTCACCGCCGGGGCGGGCTTCTCCGCTGGCGGAGACTCCTTGGCCGAGACGGTCCAGTCGGCGTCGCCCTACGCATCAATGAAAGCGGGGTGGGTCAAGGGGTGGGTCGGCAAACGCACGGCGCAGAATGCAAGGCGCTCGCCGCCGGCGCGGGCGTCTCCTCCGGAACCTCCTCGATCGACGGCAGCGGCGCGCCGCCGGTCGCCACCGGCGTGAGGGCCGGGGCGTTTGTGGTGACGCCGTTGGGGGCCGTTGGTGGGTCGGTCGGGGTGGTGCTCTTGGAGCAGTCGACCAGGTTGGGCTTGCCCAACCCGTTGAGGTCGACGCGGCCGATCGGGGTGGGGTTCTTGGTGGTCTTCTTGGAGCGGTCGATCAGGTTGGGCTCGCCCTTGCGCTCGATCTTGCGGAGCGGGGAGGCGGTCTTCCACCCGTCGATGACCTGCGCGCGCGTGCCGTGCGGCAGACGAGAGGTCACAGGATCAATGCAAGTGCCCGCCTGCATGACTCGCGTGTCCCCGCATACCCGCGTGTGCTTCTGCTGGGGGGTGCTCACCGCCGGGGCGGCCGTCTCCTCTGGAAACTCCTTGGTCGAGACGTTCCAGTCGGCGTCGACCTACGCGTCGAACGCGGGATGGGTCACAGAGTGGTTGCAA